AGAGACAGCCATTTCATTGGCAATGAAGCAGAGACTCCCGAAGAGGACATCATAAATACGGAACGAGAAGAAAAAAACAAAAACAAACAAAAACAAAAACAAAAAAAAAGAAAAACCGACAAGTTGGGGAAAACAAATGGATGTGTAAAACAAACAAACAAACAAAAAACAAATACCACGACCGCTCTACGGGAACAAACAACGACAACAACAACGACAACAACAAGCAGCCATGCCAGACGGCAGACTCCCGCACACACACTCCACACCACATCCCCGGCGTGGATATCCGTCACCCTCCTCTCCCCTTTTAGCAACATCGCAGCGCACGTCCTTTTTCCCACACCACATGCATCCACAACAGCAAAAAAAAAAAAAAAAAAAAACACAAATAAAATAAAATAAAGTAAAGAATAAAAATAATATAATTTCCCTCTAAAGGCCACTGATAAAATGTCCATTCACATAATCACACAGACACAAAAAACATACGTCAAATAGAGAAAAAAAAAATGTAAATAAATAAATAAACATATATATATATATATATATATATATATATACATGTATGCCTTCTTTTTTTTTTTTTTTAACGGCCTCCCTTCTTCTCGTACAGTTGCCGTCCGTGTGAGAAGACCGGGCGGAAAGGGAGGGGAGGGAATATAAAACAAACAAAGTGCCGCCCCGCCTACAATCATCAACACACAGAGACAAACACACCAAAAAAAAAAGAAAAAAGTACACGCCCGGCTGTGAAGCCTTCTTCTTCTTCGTCTCACCCGCTCGTCCCTTCAAGGGCATAAGAGGGAGAGGGGCGCCGTGCGGTGGGCGATGACAAAAATTGGCTCCGCTGCGCCCAACACCTTCCCCTCCCTCCCCGGGCTTCAGTGCAGCGCCGCCCCGCGCTCATACATTCCCCACAGGACAAACAAATACAAAAGACAGGTGGCCATGATGACCAAACGTCTTGTGAGACCGCGGGGTGGCATGGGCAAAAGAAAAAACAGTCGCCCTCCAGCACGTTCTCAGTGGAGACAACAACAAAAACAAGTAACAGACAGCAACAAAAACAAGTAACAGCGGAGCTCAACAAGACAAACACACAAGTACGCACACGCACGCATGTAAGAACAGAAGGGAGGCCATATGTAAACATGCGAGAAACCACACAAGGTGAGAGAGCAAAGAAATTAACCGCCAAGACAAAAAACAAAAACAAAAAAAGGGGCAAGTAATCAATATAATAAATAACAAACAACAACAAAGGAAAAAAACAGTTAGTAGAGGTCATGGCAGAAACATTAATTTCGTCATTCCCTGTTTAACTTATTAAAAATTCCTTCCACTGCTCACACTGCCCACATACATATATATATATAATAATAGTAATGGCTCTTTACATATGCTCATTTGTCTCCATCGTCATACACAAGCACACACACAGAGAGAGAGAGAAAGAGAGAGAGAGAAATACATGCATACAGGCAAAAAAAGAGATTTATATAGACGGATACGCACGCACATGTACTCTGTTTATCATTTTTTATTTCTTTTTGCTAACGATACTTCTTAGCATGCATGCACATTCCTTTGTTCCTTTTCTTTGCCCGATATCGGCCCTCGTTGGCTGCCTTTTTCATACAAAACAAAAACAAATCCCCACCGACTCATTCCCCTCTGTTCCTTTCAGTTAACAACAATCATTCACAAAGAAGTCCATGCTAACACAATTACATTCGCACGGTTAATTCTCCCCCCTCTCTCTCTCTCTCTCTCCTCACGACATGCACCTCCCACACACGTCGTCAGGCTCCTCGCACTTCCCCCTCGTCCCCTCACGCACACAAATACACACACACACACACACGCGCAAAAGAAAAGATCAAACTAAAACACAAGCGAAACGATGAAAACGGCACAAACACATACACACGCACACACACAAAAAAAAAAAAAAAAACAGTCAAATAAAAACAACAACAACAACAAAAGAATGAGGGGTGAAGAAGGGAGGGAGGGGGGAGGTACGTGCGCATTCAAATATAAATACATTTGGGAGTGTTTGCACTGCTATGTTGAGGTGCGTGGGAGCGAGCAAGCAAATAAACAAAAATGGCACATACACACACAAAGAAAAAGAAAAAAAACAAACGAAGATGCATGCCAAGAGGGAAGCAAGAGATCGAATGTAAAATAAAGCCCCCATCCAAGGAAACAACAAACCACCACCACCACCACCACTACTACCACCCCCCCAGGGAGAAGCGACAATTTCATGCGTGTGTGCACGCCTATTAACATATTAGTGGAACGGATCATGTAAAAGAAAAGGGGTAAAAAGACGGGAAGCAGAAGGAACAACAAAAATGGGGCAAAAAAAAAAAAAAATCCACAACAACAACAAAAACAACAAAAAGAAAGAAAATTCTGCGGAGGAAAACACACGTACACACACAAAAAAAAAAAAAAAAAAAAAGAATCATCTACTAGCGATCTTAAAGAAAATATTCGGCTTTCCGCATTCTTCCTCCTGGAAATTTTCCCCGTATTGTGTCCTTAAAATTATGTATGCATGTGTAATACCACATCTCCATATATATTTCCTTCTTTCATTCCTTATTCTCTTTTTCTATCCTACACGACATGCCGTTCCTTCCCCACAATACGTCGCCTGCGACATCGCTCTGATCATTGGTACTGAGGGATGGGTGGATGGGTGGATGGGTGGTGGAAACAAACCAAAGCAGCAGTAGCACCCATAAAAAAACAAAAAAAGAGCCGCCCTTCCGTCCTCAACGTACCCTGCTGTGGGAAATTTTCTTGGACACCTCGGCTGCATCGATTGCCTCCAGATCTGGGCTATTGACATGTTTTATGTTACCCAATGCATGGCGGAACCAATCCGATGGCATCCTCGCTCCCTTCACTCCGTAGAAACTACGTGGTGTACGTGGACGACGCTTTGTTTTTGTCTTTTCCAATTCTAGAGGCATTTCTTCCGGGTAAGTCAGATTCCGTGGACGGTCGTGATGAAAGACCTGAGCAATCACATTGTGCAGATTCCAATCCAACTCCAGCTGCTCCCCTGCGTACTCAATTACACCCGCTGTTGATGAATTTGGATTCGGTGGAGGAGTAAACATAAGAAGCGGCGCGGCTGCCCACATTTCAATCTCCGGCCACCTTTTTTCTGCTGAAGAAAACAGCCGCAATCGGACCATGGCCTCTGCTGATGTGCTCACAAGTTCATCGATGTGATCATGCATTTCTTGCATATCATCTGTGCTTTCCCTGGAAACCTCCCCCCTGTGGGATCGTTCCGTACCATATTCCTCAGACCTACTAGTTAGAGTTTTTTCTCCAGATACTTCTATGAGTGTGTCCCACATTTCTGTGTGAAAGGAACGATGAAGAGCTGCCTTTTCATCCTCATATCCATGATCAATAGAGTCGCTTTTCTCACGTGTTTTGGGTGTTTTCTGATGGTCATTGACAGAGGGGTGAACAGGAGGACCCTGATTGTCAATTTCCGGCACGTTCGATGGGGGATGCTTCCCGTCTTCGGTAGGAGGACTTTCGTACGCAATGACGTGTTGCCCCATCATATCTTGTTCTTTTTCTACCCAACCGTCCGTTTTTTTGAGGGGCTGAATCGACTCGGTTTTGTTATTCTCAGATTTACTCGGTGTGCACACGGACACGGGAGCTGTGCTTGTTGATTTCAGCGTATTCTTGCCTCCCGGCGTTGGGGCCTCAGACACCGTCGGGTGTTTCCTCCTAATGAACGCCTCTCCAGGAGCTCCTGGGATGGCGGTGACAGAGGCTTTTTCTGTGGGCGCTCTAGCCCTCTCTCCGGAGAAGTAGATTTTTCTCCTTCCATCTTCACCCCCCTGCCTTTTCACTGCGTTGTTTTGTGCCTTGGTTGCTGTTGCATTAAAAAAAATCTTTCGCGTGCTTACGCGCCTTCCATTGGGTGGGGCATCCACAGGGATGTCATTCTTATTTGTGCCATCATGCAAAGCTTTGCTTAGTGGCTGCTGCCGCGGCTGCGACAACGATTCTCGCAACCCGTTTGGCTTCGTGTGCGGAAGGCTGACTCGGCTCCTGATAACTACTTGGCCTACATTTCCGGCGGCAGCTCCCTGCCCCCTTTGTGGAGAACCATCCGGACTGCGTGCCAGGGGCCTCGTTGCGTCTGAGTTGGGGAGAGACACCCTGGTGCGCCTGGCGACAGTGGTGGTGGTGGTGGTGGCGGCATTTTTCACATCTTCATCATCGCCGTTCTTGTCGTTGCCGCCCAATTTCGGGGAGGGACTTTTCCTCGGTGGTGAACAAAACCCCGGGGTGCCTTTAGACTGCAACAGGGGAAGAAACCCCTGCTTTTTTTCCAGCACGCCAACCTCTTGACTGTTTTTGTCAGGGGCGGTGGAACTGAAAAGCCCATCCAATGTGTCGACATTGTCCACAACACCGTAGCCATTGCCGTAACCGTACGCGAACGGATCGTCACGCGTGTGAATGTCCATTCGGAAAACTGTTTTCACCAAATCAATGACAAACTTCAAGGCGGGTGGTAAGAAGGAAAGAACACACTCGTGTATGATGGATGTTGGGCCCAAGTGTGTCTCCTCCCCCGCCTCACTGTTTTCACTCCCGTCCCCGCCTTCCTCTTCCCCCCTCTCTTTCGTTTCCAATGTAGCGGAAGACGGAGCAGCAGGAAAAACAACAACAACAACAACAGTTGATGACAATCACAGGGGTGAGTTGGCTCTGCAATCACACACACACACACACGCACACCGCACACCGCACGCCTTCTCCCTTGTCAGAGGTCTCTCTCTCTCCCTCCCTATAAATATATAAATATAAATGGGTGTATATATATATAATAATATATATAAGTGATGTAGGTACCTCCCTCACTGGATGGATGCGGAGGCAAAAGATGAACCTCCTACTTCTTCCTGCGTCCTAGTGAGTGTTGCTTTTCCCTTCAGAAAAGAAAAGATAAAAAAAAAAAAAAAAAAAAAAAAAAAAAGAACCAAAAAACACAAACAAAAAGATAGCAACAACCAAAAAAAGCAACACTGCATCCAAAATCATTCCTTCATGCCGTATCTCCGGCGTGAATATAACGCTGGCAAATGGGAGCAGGCAAACAGATAATATAGAAAAAAAAAAACAAAAAAGGAAAGAAAAGAAAAGAACAATCTTCTGGGCAGCTGGCCGGATCCTGAAAATAATCTATGGAAACCAAACAAGTTAAGAAAAAAGTTTCGTTAGTTAATTGTTTGAATGTTTTCTTTTCATTCAATATATATAGAATTCTGTGGACCACTAGCATGGTCCTTTGTCCTCAGTTAAAATTTAAATATTATTACTTACGAGTTGGCAGACTTTGGGGTCCTCCAGCCAAAAGACCCCGCCGCTCGCCTTCGCAAGTTCCACCCCTTCGCCAAGTCCTGAAGTGTAAACACACGACCGCGTGATATGCCGTCTGCGGGGTTTTCTGCAGACCGTACGTATGCAAAGGATACCTGTATTCCGTGAGAGTCCAAAAACTCATATATCCGTTGCAGCTCCCACGTCAGCGCGTGCGATTTCGAGCTGCCTTTATTCGCCGCTCCTTGCAGCGAAGTATTATCCACCCAAACGTTCATGGTGGATGGCAAGATGGCGGAAAAGGCCGATAAGGCTAAGCGGACCGCGCGTGCCTCGGCCTGCATGATAAGAAAAGGTCTCTTCCCCCATTTCCCTCCGGCAATTTTAACGTCGCCGGAGTCTGGAATGAAAACGGCTCCCCATCCCTGGAGCGATGCATCCGTGAACAGCGGTGTGTAGACGGGCACGCAGTTTGGAAAGCCGGATGCCGGGATCGGATGCCATCGTGAGCTGCATCCGGAATGTATTCAGTAAGGACCTCCCCAAATTCATGAAGCGATCGGTGGGATCCTGCCAGCCTTCCAGCACGCCGATCCACTCGACCAAATTTTCAAAGGCAAGTTTAACCTGCTCGTCCTCCTGTTGCCAGCATTGGTATGCGCACCGGAGGTCGAAAACGACTCCGGAAGTTCCCTCATTCCATATACGCGTGGGCCACGTGGTGACGTCAAATGCGCAGAAACTGCGGTCCTCTTCCATAGGTGATTGGGCTTCCAGGGGAGAAGTGCGGGAAGGCAACGGCGTGGAAGGGTGGAAATGTGGTCTCCCAAAATTGCCGTGAGGGGGTCTGCGAGCCGCCGAACTGTGTCGGGCCGCGCTGCTAGGCACGCCTCCAGCCATCAAGATATCCGTTTGATGCGGTAGTGTAGATACGCCACCGTTGGCAACGTGTCGAGTAGCGGGGGCCTCGTCCCGCCCCGCCGTCTCCGCATCCCGCGCGGGTTGTTGTGCATTATGGCGTGCCTCCCGTTCCTGGAGTTGACCCGTGAGCCTTCCCAAGTTGAATTCGAGCGCCCGTAATTGGGCGTGAGCGGCCTCCAACTGCTGTTGTAGTTCTAGGACCTGGTTGCCGACCCCGGCGATATTGGATCCCCTTACCGATAGGTTAATATGCGCTTCCTCAACCTGCGAGTTAAGCTGAGCATTCCGATTCTGCACGTCCGCGACGGCGTTAGCGTAATCAATATTCAGGCGCTCCCTTTCAGCAGTGATGAACCCTTGTTGGTGCCCCAACTCCCGGGCTGCCCACATAGCGGGCAGGAGCACTTGTGTCTCGAAATTAGGGATCTGAGGCGCCCGGAGATTCGCAATACGTCCAATAAGAGTAGAATCCTGCCATGCTTTAGAGATAGGTCCATGGAACAAGCTTAGGCCTGTCGATGATGCGGCCACAGTTAACGTCTCGTCCGACATCTGGTTACCATTAATGAAGGTCATCTGCACCTGGGTCTCGCCACATTGGCACACCATGTCCCAGAGACGGGCGCCAATATTACACCACTCGGAGGGTGTGTAGGGAACCAAAGCCATTTCCTTAAACTTACCTGGCTGTGTGTCTGTAAAAAAATAAAAACAAATATTATCTGGCCTCTATCGGCTCCCTGCCCCTACAAAGTCGCGTTCTTCCCATAAGATTCATACGGCAGAAAAGTATCATAAAGAAAAGCATTCGTTCTATCAGGATATAAACATGCATTAATTAAGTTAGCCAGCTCTCCCGATACCAATCTTTTCACAAGCTCCTAAAAAAGAAAAAAAAAAAAATAACAGGAGGCGTACAATAAACCAAAGACACAAACCCACACACACCCTCCTCAATATACACATCGGCACACACACAAACACACGGACACTGAAGCATTTACACATATTATATATAATACAATATAATATTAAACTCAAGTAAATATTAAGCGTGTTGTATATATTTACCAAATTATATAATTTAAATTTATTCCCTTTTCCTTTTTTTTTTTTATTTTTTATTTATTTCTTCTTCTTCTGTGCTGGATGGCTTATTTCACCTCCCCCCACCTCCTCTACTTCTTCCCGCACAGGCATGTAAAAACAATTCATTTATTCCCTCATGACTGCTGGTGTCTATTACACTGGAGGGTAGAATCACACACACACACACACACAAGACTAAAGTAACGCAAAATTGCACATGGAGAAAAGAAAAAAAAAAAACAAAAAAACAAAAACATGAATGGGGTTTCGCAACAAATGTTCTTTCTCATCAATTAAGAAATATATATATATATATATATATAAGACCATCACTCGACTTTTTCTCTTCTTCCCACCTATTCATGCCTACATCTCTTCTCTTTACCCCGTTCCTCCTTTCCTCTAAGTCCAATACGTATCTACATGTATCTTATATGTATATATGTATATATGCTTATCATTGTTCCTTCGTGTGGTTTTACTCCAGTCTACCTCGTAACAGCAAGCCATGGGATTTACACCAGAAACATACCCCCCCATTGAAAAAAAAAAAAAAAAAAAAAAAAAAAAAACAATTCAAATAACAACGAGAAAAAAACAAACAAACAAACAAAAAAAATAGAAGAGGAAGATGTCAACAATATCATAGACATCTTCCATCATCTTATTCTCGTCCCTTCTTCTTTTTTCTTTTCTTCTTCCCCTCTTTCCCCCCCCTCCCCACAACAACACGTTTAGGGCCGCACAGAAAGGGGGAGGGTGGAGCCAAACAAGACACACGCACCAAAAATAAAAATAAAAACAAATAAAAAATAAAACATGCAGGAAAAAAAAAAAATAATACACGCGCATAATAATTAATAATAAAACTAATGAACACACTCAAAGGACAGAGGGAGACAACAACAACAAAAAAAAAAACAAGAACAAGAACAACAACAACCAAAATAAAGGCCAAGAAGACAAAATTCCCTTCTTCCTCACCACCACACTACACAAAAATCATGTTCGCCTCTTAATGCCTTCTCCAACTTGTTGTCCACATTACGGGCCCCTTTACTCCTTTGGCCATCCCACCAGAAACACATGCACGCCGTGACCACCACGTGCCACAAAAGTCAGGCAAAAAACAACAACAACAAAAAATAATAATAATAAGTTTTTGCGTTCAATTACCATCTTCTTTTCGCATTCCCCCATCTTCCCAGTCACCCTACTCGCAACTGTCAAAAAATTAAACAGTAGCCACAAGGAAACCTCAAATAACTCCCCTCCCCTTCGCCAAGGAAAACCAAAGAGAGGCAGAAGACACATGTATACAGTAGCCGTTACTTAAAAAGGTTCATAAAGGCATTCAGAAACTTTGAAGTTTTGGCAGGAGGATTAGTTTCTTTTTTCTTTATAACCTCCCCCTGCTTACAGGGCGTCTCGCATAAACCTCGTTTTGGAGAAGGTGGAGGAGAAATTACACGTTTCGCATGCACAGTGCCCTGAAACCAGGTTTCATTTCCCAGATGGCGCGTTTTTGGACGTCTGCAGCATCTTAGTCGCATGTAATTATTCTCTTTAAATCGTGTGGGCTCCACAAAAGAGGGTTGAGGTCCTCGTGCTACAACCGGCAATCCAGTAACCGAAGACACCGCTGGAATTGCCCTCTTGTTGTTGTTATTAATGACACCTGGCCCAGCTTCTATCATGCGAACGCCGTTTCTCTCATTGTCTCGCGGGAGCACATAGATGTCAGACAAATCCCCATAATTCCTCCCAATTATCCTAGAGGCTACCGGACTCCAATGTGGTGCGGCCATACCCATCGGCATTTTTTTTATACTGGGAGGATACGGATAGACGCAGTTATTTGACCTCGCATGGGATGAACCTTTTTCAAAGAGAGATGAATTCATGACTATTGCTTTTCCCTGTTTGGGTTCACCTACGTTGGGCGACTTTGGCTGCAGTTGGTCGCTGTGTCTCCGCACCATAGCGGTGTATATGGCATTCACGTGCCGCGGCGCAGGTGTTACCCCGCCCATCGACCCGGGCAGCTGCGGGTGGGCGGCCCACCTCCCTTCATTCCACGTGGGCCCGGCTCCATAACAGACGAGCTCTTTATTGTTGGGGCGGTTCAAACGCGCCCCCTCGCAGGAGTAATCCATCTTTCCGTCCATGTTAATGCAGGTGTCACGGCGCCAGGCGAGATCAAAGCAAATCGGGGAGAGGGGGGTGGGAGAGGACGAGAGAAATAATTTTCTGAGATGCGGGGGTGGGACGGAAAAAATTATAAAAAAAACTAATAAACAAAAAAACAAAGAAAAACAAGAAGGTTATCTTTTGCCCTCTTATTCCTCCTGCTGCTTCTTCTTCTTCTTCTCTCCCTCCCCTCCCCCCCCTTTCTGTTTGCCACTACAAGTACTAATGACTACACACACTTCTCTTCTGGAGGTAACTGCTATGCTGCACTGAATGCAGCTCCGCACTTGGCGGCAAAGAAAAACAAAAAACAAAAAAAAAATAGAAATAAATGATATTCTAAAAAAAAAAAAAAAAAAAAGATTTGACCCAGCCTCTACCTCTTCACACGTCCAACCAAAAAAAAAAAAAAAAAAAAACAACAAAAAACAAAAAAAACAAACAAGAACAACAAAATGGGAAAGAAACACACAAACAAACACAGAAGTAAAAAGACATGAATGCAGTCATCTCTTTTCGATTCTGCACGAGCATTACCGTACGCGTAGATGCATGCGTACCAAAATATATATATAAAAAAAAAAAAAGAAAAAGGGAGAAAGAGGCAGAAGAAGGACATGCCCAATAGATCCATGCTTCTTTTTCCCCTGTTGCTCTACCACTTATTGGCCCACACACTTACGCCTTCGCAGACCACCGGCTCGGATACTGCAAATCCAAACAGGCGCCTTTACCATGCGCGGCGCCACAGACCGCGGTCGTACCATCTCAGAGTCTTCTCCGCCAAAACCCTCGCAGTGGTGCGGAGGGCTTCATTCGTGGCGTATTTGAAGAAAAGTCAATTCCACGAGATCCACAAATTTCCCCGTGGTTATCCGCCAAGAAAGCTGCCTGTAAAAAGACGCAACCAACTCCAGTAAAGCGGCGGTTTCGTCCCACACTTCGCTAAGGTACTTTTAAATGTAAAATGGCAGAACAAACATGACCTCAGCGTCCTCATGGGCGTTCTTTGCCCTTGGCCATGCGATGGACCGCCTTTTCAACGCGTTGCGGATACCACGTATCCTTCACACACGCGGCACATACCGTGAAGGAATCCGCACATGTGGTCCCCTTTTCATGCACAATCGTCTATTGCCTTTATTGCGAGTGTTCCTGCTGCCATTGGCCCTTGCGGAAAACTACACATGCCATGATACATCTGAAGAAAGAAGAAATTAGCATCGGGAGTATTTTCACCGGCAAAACGACGTCCAGCCAAACCATTCCTCCCGCAAACTCTCAAAACAAAACAAAAAACAAACAAACAAACACAAATTAATAAAATATATGCTCAATTACTTCCCAAATGAGATGTCTTTACAAACATTCATTCATTCACAAAAAAAAAAAAAAAAAAAAACAGCCACAAAATTACACACATACATATACGGTTACCCATATGCACATTCCCGGGCCAAATTTACGTCCCAGAAAAATATACAAATGTCAATCCTTTTAAATTCATGTACACTGTCAGTGTTTTTAAGAAAAAAAGCGAGAAAAAAAAGAAAAAAAAAAAAAAAAAAAAAAAAAAAGAAAAGTGGAAACAAATTGTTTAAATGCGTTTTTTTTTTAATTTTTTTATGTTTCGAATCAACATCTTCTCGTTCCCTCACTCTCTCACACACTCACATAAAACCACACACACTCACTCCCTTCCTTTTCTTCTGGGCCTCTCCAGACACCTCGCACACCACTGCTTCTGTGAAACTCAAGTCCTTTCCCCCCCTTTTATGTCTAACCCCCCCCCTCCCCCTTTTTTTTTTTCCCCTCGCCACCGCCGCACAGTCTTCGCCATCCACAGACACACAAAAGACAAAAAAAAAAAAAAAAAAACAGACCACCACAAAACTGCACATTCCGCAGCTCAACTGCGTCTATAACGTCTATGATCGGCTAACACGATAACAAACACACACAAATCAGCCCCTTTATTTTCTCTCTCGTTCTCTCTCTGTTCTTTTTCTTTTCTTTTCTTTTCTTCTTCCTCGCTGGTGCGTGTGTGTGGCCGAAAAGGAAGAGCCGGGCAGGGTGCCTCTCCCCCCCCCCTCCGCCATGCCGCGGAGAAGAAAAATAAATAAAAAAAAAAGGGTGTGAACGGATCCAACGTCCCTCTCAAAAAAAAAAAAAAAAAAAAGAAAAAAAAAAATAAAATATTTCGGAGCGAGCAGCAACAAAAACAAACAAATTTCCCCCCCGATCCCCACTTTTGACGGCATTCCTTCCACAGGACTGTCAACGAGAGAGAGAGAAAAACAAAAAAAAGAAGAAATGTACTCACCAAATCAATAATTAATCTTCTTTACATCCCACACACTCACTTCTCGTGCTTCAGGAGGAAGAAGAAGGAAAAAACAACAACAAAGAAACAAGATCTACGGATTTACCTGCAGGAAAATAACAAAAGACAAACAAACAAACAAACAAAGAATAAAAACAAATCCGTAAAGGTTACAAAAATAAAAAAATAACAAGAAGGAAAACAAAAAGTACAATACAAGACAAAATTGTAACAACAACAAAAAAGAAGATGTAACAAAGCCGGTAAAATTCTATTTACATCATGAATTCTGTGACTGTGTCCTTTATGACATGGGTAGTAAGGCCCATCCACCTGCATGGCAGAGTCCCAGATTTTTTCCACTCGACACTTATTTTTGTTCTTGCTGACTGATGCTTGCTCTATTTTATTTGCCCAAAATTCACACTCAACACGGTGCGGCGTCTGTTCCCCACAATGCCATGGCGAACCCACGCGGTGCCGAGAAAAACACATCCTCCCTCCCGCGGCATGAGGCCCGCATATCGTGAGCCTGAGGCGCACTATCGACGGGAGGGTGCGACAGGCAAATCTTCCGTTAAGATGAAGTTGACAAGGGGTTCCTCTGGGTTCAATGAGAATGTGGAGTCCATACGCACGGGGTCCTTGCCACTTGCCGTTCCATTGCCTTCGTTTCCCGATGGAGGTGACGAGGGAGTCGGGATGCCACCACCTGCGACGCTGCTAAACTGCGATCCTCGGAGTACACGAGCGGAGGTCAAAGGCACGCGTAGTTCATTTGACGGGACCGACTGGCTCGGTGATAACGCCAATATGCGGTTCTTATCCTTCGAGCACCTGCCGCGCGTCGCTGCGACAATATTGTCACCGTTATCCCGCCTGTTCATTCGGCTGCTGCTTTCGTTGGCATTTTCGACGTGGGAGGACATTTTCTTCCCACTGGAACTCCTCTTCTTCGCACCGCGTCCTCTACTCTTCCGCTCCTGTGGCAGCCGCTCTTCGTAACTCACAAAGACAGACTCCCGAATATCGGCTTGCAGCGGATCCTTCGTCTTCGGTGGGTAACTGCCGCCACTGTCTGCGGAGGCGTTGTTCGATTTCTCTCGTGTCAGAAACGACATTTGTACAAGTCCCTTTGTTTCTTCTTTTTTCTTTTCTTTTTTTGCCTCTACACCAAATGCAGGTGTGATGGATCCGTTGGGCCTCAACCTAGGGGGGGAAACAAAAACAAAAACAAAAGTGTACATGAAAGAAAAGAAGTAGCCGTTGCAAGACAAATGCATACATATATACATGGATGCCATCCGACACATACATGCGGTCTCTCAACACCTCCTCTCCCGCCTCCTCCTTTCTTCTCCTTTCCCTCCCGTCTACCCTCCTCTCAGCTTCCTTCCTCTGTTTTCTACTTCTGTAAGGCCAAATAGCGATCTTCACTCTCGTCCCACAACGCCTTTCCACTGAAACAAAACCAAAACCAAAAAAATATAATAAAGAAAAATGAGAAGAGGTGTTGGGATGCAGACACTCAGACACAGGAGGAAGGCGTGAGACTCAAAGACATTGTTAAGAACGCAACGCGATATCCAATATCCAAAAATTTTAAATATTTCGAACGGTATTACTCTTTCCTCGTGTCCTTAGCACATTTAACAAGATAACCGTTCCCTTTCATTCCTTTTATTTATTTATTTATTTATTTATTTTTGTTGTTGTTGTCGTTACCTTTACTTCCAAAAGAAAACAAAAGCAAATAAGGTTGCACAAAGACACACGTATATATATATATATATATATATAAAGCACCAGAAGCAGCAAAGTCTTTTTGGACATGACGCACAACCGGATCCACGGATTTCCGGAAGAACATCCGACCAACGACTAACACAGCAGCAGCAAAAATAAAAGAAAAGGAAAAAAAAAGAAAAACAATAAATACAACAAAAACAACAACAAAAGAGGAAGTTGCAAAGTAAGCAATTTATTCATACACGTTACTCCATTCAAGTCTCGCCTCACTTCCTACTCCTCCTTTTTGTGCCTTCCACGGCATTTCACTTTCTCTTTCCCCTGTTTTGTGTCCATAACTCCCTCCCTTCCCCATCACCCTCTCATTTCTTCAATCCCACACCGTGATGATGCAGAAATTCACTCAAATTGTAGACTTTTCCCTTCAGCTCTGAGAATGCCTTCACGCGGAGAAATTTGTCGTTTGTGACAAATTCCACGGTCAACTGCTGCTGTTCCAGAAACACAGCAAAGCCCAGGATGGAATCATCTTTTGTTGAAACCTTGCGATCATAAAGCATTTCCACCTCACATCGGCGTTGTACACGTATGTTGGCACCCTTTTCAATGGCAGAGGCGATCCAGTTTCGAATTTGCCGAGCCGAAAATTTTAATTGACGGGATTCTGTCTTCCCACGGCTGCGATTCCCTTTGCCACCGTTTATCGCATCCAACTCTGCAATAACGTCAAAGGGAATGCACACAATACAGTGCTGGATCGCTTCGTCTAAAATAGAAACATTCGCCTCCAGCAAGCTAGATGTATCAAACACGACATGAAAAGCCTTACGCTGGGAGCCAGAGAGCGTGGGAATCAACGACTGTTCTCCGCGGTATTCCCCTTTAAAAGGGGTTTGGACTCCATTCTGGGTAGTGCTTTCGGGGACGATGCCATTAATGACCCTGCTTTTTTGTAATTTCCCCGACAAATTTGCGCATGGAGCAGGAGGCACCAAATTCTCACCAGTCAATCCCGACATGTGGCCTTTTGTAATGTCCATTTGTTGAAGAGGCAATGGTCTCGCTGCCACTTCGTCCTTGGCTGCACTATACTTTTCAATGTGCCGGCGTATCTCCTCCAGTCGCGACGGCAGAGAGCTACCTTGTGTGTGGACAGGCACCAATGTACTCCTCCTAGTTAGTAAGTGTCCCACGCTGGTTTGAGGAGGAGGCGCACTGTCACTCCCATTGAGACATGCCCTTAACTCTGTCAGCCTTGAAGTCCCATGGGTTTCCTGCATAAAGTTACTACCAGGTGCTGACAAGGAAAGAATACGATTCGTGCCCGTTTCCTCTTTTTCAGCCGACGGCCTTGCCTCTTCTGCTAACTGTTTTCCTCCTTTTATTCGTTCCTTCCTAGGCCTCTTCGCTAACAATGAACTTTGTGACTTCTTGGCACATAGTGGTACTTTTGCAGAGGCTGTTCCCTTACTTGAACCATGAGCTGATTCCGTGCACGCTGCAGGCATGGTATCATTTTTTGAACACATTTCGGTCTTTATACGTCTTTCCACAGTATCCTGTGGGTAAGGATGCCCATTCCTCACAATGTTAATGCAATTACTCGTGGTGGTTTCGGTGTTACTTCCATGGCTTTGAATGCGTTGGTCATCGTCGTCCAGTCCCTTTGACCCCATTTCCTCGCAGTATCGAGAGTACAGCCGCAAAAGAGCCAATGAATTCTCTAATGGTTCACTAGTACATCCACCGATATTCTGCGGCCGGCTGGGTGACGCATCCTCTCTATTTCTTCTAAGCTGCTGATTCCATTGTGGTTGTTGTTGCTGCTGCTGCGCCATGGCGGTCCCAACGTTTGGCGACCCGCGTACTGAAGTACCGATCAGACCATCGTGTCTTTTCTGCACATCGCAGCCGCAGGTAGCAGCAGCAGAAGAAGAAGGGGTGATATGACAAGGTGACGGATCTCGCTCAATCGTATGCTCTCGCAATCTCTTGCGCAGAGACTCAGAAACTTGAGTTGCTGGTGGAAGGCACCCATTCGTTTGTGAGAACGAAGAGGCGGCAGTACCACCGCAATCCTCATGTCCCTTAGCCACACGAGCGGCGAACACCTCACGTGGGGTAAACGCACTCCACTGCTGCGGTACACTTTTCCTTCGATGTGAAGAACGCGTCACACCCTTTCCCATTATATGCGACATGGATGCCAGCTTTTGCAGAGACGGCACAATTTTCACCCGTCGCCGGCCTCTCTCTCTCTCTCTCTCTCCTTCTCCCTTTTCCTTTTTTTTTTTTGCTTTTCTCCCTTTTCCCCTCTCTTCTTTCCTCCCCCCGGCTACGATGGTACAGCAAAAGGACACACACGGGGGCGGGAGAGGGAGGGATATGCGTTTCCCGCCGTGTTTCCCCAAGGCGCCAATCTAATAACTTTTTTCTTTTTTTCTTTTTTTTTTTCTTCCCCGTCTCTTTCTCTTCCTTTCCTTCTATTAAAAGACAAGAATTCCCCACCCCGTCCCCACACCCAACACACACACACAAAAAAAAAAAAAAAAAAAAAGAAAAAAAGCAGAAAAGAAAATAATTTTCTGAACAGCACTTAAACACACACACACACACACACACAAATAGCATAAAATATACGTTCCAAACACACACGATGACGCAGGGATTGACCCGCACCCGTTATATATATTCATCCTGCAGCCGTTTCATCGTGTACACACACCCGCCATTCCCTCCCTTCCACTTTCAGCATGCGTATTGAGCAAACAAACACAATCGCCAGTAAAAATAATAATAATAATAATAAAAATAAAAAAACAGAAAAAAAAAAATAACCGGCATCTCTCTCTCTCTCTCTTTTTTTTTTTTTTTTGTTGTGTATATGTGTATGTCATGAAGAGTAGCAAATAGACACAAAGATGTGTTCCTCATTGTTACAAGCCATGTCCATCACGTCTCAGCGGTCCTTCTCCTCCGCCCCTTTAAAAGGGAAGGTGGCAGGTGTCAACATATCGCCATTACTTCATCGTTTACTCTTTCCGTGGCGCCTCCGGCAACGGAGCCATCGCAAGCACGTCCCCCCGCCGTTGTGTTGCCCCCTCCACCAGAGTCCGTTTTTTTCTTCAGCTCCGCAGGCATTTTTTAGTGGGCACAACAAACAACTGCTGTCACAACAATCCCTGTGGGAAGCAAGAGGGGTCCGTCTCTAAAAAAACCTGCCAGTATCAAACGACTCGCAGGTGGGCTGCTGGAAGAACGAGCGCCCATGGCGGCCAAATGTGTTCGCCCGTTCCTGCGTCCTCGCGCATTCAACGTTTTCCCCTCCCACGCAAACTGTCGTTGCCTATTGACATCATCGCCCGCACAGCGCGGAGGGGCTGGGCGCAGAGTGGGAGAAACACACATCAACTAAAGAAAAAAAAAAGGAGCCCGTCAACATTGATAGAAATTCACCGCGTCTACACAATCCGTCCGTCAGCCATCCAGCCGTCCATCCCCAATGAATGAGGCCACACCATCAAATATCCCCTCACCGCACCCTCGTCTCGTTACTCCCGCAAAAGACACATCCACACATATGCACAAATACACACATATCCTTCAATAGCCCTACAATTACGCGAGGCAACAAACGAAAAGAACAATTATTTTAATCCACCAACACCCGAATTCACCCTCTTCCTTTCCCTCATGCCCTCACCGCCTCTCCAACGTCGCTGAGAGCTCCCCGCGGCGGTACAATGCAACAATTTCGTCATAACCACCAAGATATTTGCCGTTGTGAAACATCTGCGGCACGGTGTGTACACCTGTCCGTCCAACGACTTCCGCAAACACCTCTCGCCCGTTGGGAATGATGTTGATTTCAAGCGACACAAAGCGGTGTTTCATTTCAATTAGTAACATCTTCAGCTTTGTACAATATTCACAATATGTAGCGGAGATAAGCACAATCTGGTTGCGGCGTAACATCATATCAAGAAACTGCGGCGCCTTTGCTGGATCTAAAGCTTTGTTCATCTTCCCACCGTCACTTCTTCTTCTTCCCACCCTTCTCTCCCCCCACACACAAAAAAACAAAAAAGAATATCACGCTTCTTTCCTTCTTACTTTCTTTTGTCTCCTCACGCTACACAGCGTACTTCCTCCAATGCTACTGTTGTTTCACCAAAAAGAGATACCATAAAATAATAACAAACGCACACACACAAAAAGAAAAAAAAAAGGGAAAGTGAAAGAAGTGGAAAGAATTCAAAAACAAACAATAATAATAATAATAATAATAATAATAATAATAATAATAATACTAGAATAATCTTCTGGGCGGCTGGCCGGATCCTGAAAATAATCTATGGAAACCAAACAAATTAGGAAAAAAGGTTCGTTAGTTAATTGCTTCAATGTTTTCTTTCCATTCATTCAATATATATAGAATTCTGTGGACCACTAGCATGGTCGTTTGTCCTCAGTTGGGATTTAAATATTATTACTTACGAAGTGGCAGACTTTGGAGTCCTCCAGCCACATGACCCCACCGCAGGGTTGGAATCAAAAGGGGGTGGGTGGAATGGCAAAATAAAAACAAAAAATTATCTGGCCTCTATCGGTTCCCTGCCCCTAAAAAGTCGCGTTCTTCCCATAAGATTCATACGGTAGAGAGTATCTTAAAGAATGCATTCGTTCTATCAGGATATATACATACATTATAATTAAGTTAGCCAGCTCTCCCGCGATCATTCTTTTCACAAGCTCCTAAAAAACAACAACAACAAAAAAGAACGTGGGAATGGCAAGCCATACTGGAAGAGTCATCCGTGTCAATCTTTTCATGGCAACAGAAAAATAAATTACAATATCTACAGCCAAAGCTATAATCCACACTTCACCATAAATCGTCAAAAAAGTATATCAGTGCATACATGTATGTATGTACGTATGTGCGCAAGGGGTATATGTGATGTCAAAACGGCAGCAGAAATTACACTTTTAACCTCTTCTTTATTACTTTGGCTAGTAAGCGATTTGTAAGGAGCAAATCAATAATTTAACCTCTCCCCCAAAAAAACTCCGCGATGATTCCCCATCATCCTTCTCCTCATTTCCACTGGAAATTATCTCGCTAGTACACGTAGTCCGCGGAGGAGGTGATGGATGACGAGTCCAGACTAAAATCCTGCGACAGGGTGTTGTTGACGGAAGTAAATCCCAAAGCAGGGCTTTCATTTGGCGCCCAGCCGTTAGGCGACATGTGAGAGGACCCATGAGCATCCGTTTGCACATTCCCCACTTCTTTTTCTGCCTCAACCGTGGCGCTTGTCCCACTTTCTAGTCTTTTTCGCGGAGAGTTTCTCCCAAAGTTCTCATCGGCATTTCCAAAGGGATCAGTCGTGGTTGTTTTGATCCCCACACGCGGCGGGTGCGTCTCTTTCCTTGTGTCGGCCGTTGATGCACGGCTGCGAGGGGATGTTGCAGCGCCATTCACACCCTCTAGTACCGTTCCAGTGACGCCGCTGCCACGATGCGTCGCCCTCTTGGAATTATTCCGTTTCCGTTGATTTTCTTCTTTTTTTCCCCCATCTTGCGGTTCCAGCGTTTGATCCTGTGACTTCATTTCGTCAGGCCCGTAGGCGGAGCTTCTGCTCAGACTTTCTCGTGAATGCCGATGCCGTTTTTCCTTCAGGATGGGCAATCTTGATTCCACGAGTGGAGGCGACACCGCCTTCTTCTCAACCAGCCCCTCCCGCGCCTTCGACTTTTCTTCCAACGGCACCGGCGTGGAATGAGAGGGAGGCGTCTCCAGGTGCACGCGTTGCAGCGGTGTCGTGGCGTCTTCGCCTGCAGTGTTTTCTACTTCATTGCCCTCCTGCACCGCATACATTTCTTGTCCATTTGCCTCCTTTTCTTCCCTACGCGGAGCATCGTTACCATCGTTGTCATCCTTTTCATTAACGTTACTCTTTTCCATTGATGCTGAAACAACGGCCATCATCGCCGATTTCTTTTCCTCGCGGTGCCGCGAAATCCTGCTCCTTTTCTTTTCTTTTCCAACTTCCCCCGCCTTTTCTTCTCGCCCCTGCTGTTTCCTTTCACGCTTGCGTTTCCTGCGTGCATCCGCCAATTCCTCTTTGCCACCCCTCTGCTCCTCTGGTGATTTTTTTCTTTTCCCCACCGCCGGCCCGCCGTTCTGCAAGTCACCACCCGATAAGCCCCATTGTAAGTCGTCATGTCGCACCACCTCGTAGCTTCCACCAGCCTCCACGAGAAAGCACCCTAACGGTTGTCCAGCGTGTTCGCACACCTGCAGCTGCCGCTGCCGCCTCCCAGAGGAAATGACTCCATCCGCATCGGTGTTATCCGAAATATCCGCATGATTCTCCTCTCCCTGGATATGTTTCACAAGCACGTAATCCATACTTCCCAGCAGCACTCTTAAGTTCACTACGCCCGTCGATATGGCTGGCTGCCCGCTAAACGTGATGTTTATTAAGGGCGGTGGTGGAAGATTCAGTTGCATTGTTGATGCCTTAAGCTTGAATCGCTTATACAAACCTCCAGTAACAACATAATCATCAACAACAATAAAGGCAATATTGATAGTATTAACAACAGTAGTAGCGGTAGACAAAGCGGCCATCAACGGTTAAATCATGAGCAAGAGCAAAAACAAACAAACAAACAAACAAGAAATGTGAAGTAATAAAACAAACAAAAGTGAACGTGCAAACAGATAAAGGGATGCCAATGATACGTATATATATAAAAGACACATTGAACTCACACTTTACTTTTTTTCCTTTTCTTTTTTTTTTTTCCTCTCTCCTTCATCAGACAAGATAACTCAAAGAGCAATACTCTTTAACCAGACATATTACACACAATAAATAATATAATATACGTATTATACGTATAAACAACAAAAAAACAACAACTACAATACAACACACACACGCACACACACACAAAGAGAAAGGAAGAGAGAGAGAGACAGACTCTCATTTTTTTCTTTACTCATTGGACAAAGAGTCTTCAATGCGGGACATTTGCGTCTGCCGACGGCTCATACAGCAGACGAACGGCGAAAGCAGGCATCCAAAAAAGGTATACCTGGGGTGGATCGGTATATCATCGTCAGAGTCATCCCCTAGAGGCTCACCATGAGGAATCGTCGTCGCGCGAACTTCTCCAGTACGTAGCGCGGGATGCACTGCTACTTTACCCAGCATATCAGATTGAACTTCGGTTTCTTCAGCCTCAACCCGTAACGACGATGCTGTCTCCTCTGCCAACAAAACACCACTCCTCACGTTCAACTGCGTTAATTCACAGCCCCCAGTCAGAAGAATTCCATCTAACTTCGCATCATTTACACGTGACACGGCAGTTGCACATGCACTGCCTTCATCAGATACACCTAAACCGGCATCCAAAGACATTCCGCTAGGAGAGACTGCAGCGAGCGCCTCAACAGAATTCACGCTCTTTGGATCCAACGCACCCACCCGTAAAGGCCACGAAGCAATCGAATCTCTCTTCTCGCGTAATCCAAGCACATTCTCACCTCCATAAAAACCACAAGCGCCCCACACAAAATGAACACTCTGCGCTGCTGCCAGGACAGCACTGCGCTCGGCTTCCTCCGCGTGCGATATGACATCACGGTCCTGCTGCTCTCTCCGACTCAAGGCCTCTGCACCAGCAATGGCCGTCGCACCTCTGTGCGCAGCTTCCAGGACAGCACTGCGCTCGGCTTCCTCCGCGTGCGATATGACATCACGGTCCTGCTGCTCTCTCCGACTCAAGGCCTCTGCACCAGCAATGGCCGTCGCACCTCTGTGCGCTGCTGCCAGGACAGCACTGCGCTCGGCTTCCTCCGCGTGCGATATGACATCACGGTCCTGCTGCTCTCTCCGACTCAAGGCCTCTGCACCAGCAATGGCCGTCGCACCTCTGTGCACTGCTGCCAGGACAGCAGTGCGCTCGGCTTCCTCCGCGTGCGATATGACATCACGGTCCTGCTGCTCTCTCCGACTCAAGGCCTCTGCACCAGCAATGGCCGTCGCACCTCTGTGCACTGCTGCCAGGACAGCACTGCGCTCGGCTTCCTCCGCGTGCGATATGACATCACGGTCCTGCTGCTCTCTCCGATTCAAGGCCTCTGCACCAGCAATGGCCGTCACACCTCTGTGCACTGCTGCCAGGACAGCACTGCGCTCGGCTTCCTCCGCGTGCGATATGACATCACGGTCCTGCTGCTCTCTCCGACTCAAGGCCTCTGCACCAGCAATGGCCGTCGCACCTCTGTGCGCTGCTGCCAGGACAGCACTGCGCTCGGCTTCCTCCGCGTGCGATATGACATCACGGTCCTGCTGCTCTCTCCGACTCAAGGCCTCTGCACCAGCAATGGCCGTCGCACCTCTGTGCACTGCTGCCAGGACAGCACTGCGCTCGGCTTCCTCCGCGTGCGATATGACATCACGGTCCTGCTGCTCTCTCCGACTCAAGGCCTCTGCACCAGCAATGGCCGTCGCACCTCTGTGCACTGCTGCCAGGACAGCACTGCGCTCGGCTTCCTCCGCGTGCGATATGACATCACGGTCCTGCTGCTCTCTCCGACTCAAGGCCTCTGCACCAGCAATGGCCGTCGCACCTCTGTGCACTGCTGCCAGGACAGCACTGCGCTCGGCTTCCTCCGCGTGCGATATGACATCACGGTCCTGCTGCTCTCTCCGATTCAAGGCCTCTGCACCAGCAATGGCCGTCACACCTCTGTGCACTGCTGCCAGGACAGCACTGCGCTCGGCTTCCTCCGCGTGCGATATGACATCACGGTCCTGCTGCTCTCTCCGACTCAATGCCTCTGCAGCAGCAATGGCCGTCGCACCTCTGTGCGCTGCTGCCAGGACAGCACTGCGCTCGGCTTCCTCCGCGTGCGATATGACATCACGGTCCTGCCACCTCGCGTTTGCAAATGATTTGTCTTGTTGTGGGTTGCTGGTCTCTGTTGTGTTTATACCTAGTGTGTGTTTAGTGCTACTGATCAAGTGGTTGTTGTGTAGGGTGTTAGACTTTAATAACGGCATATGTGTGTTACCCATACTTTGTGATATGTCGTTGAGATTCTCATTTTGTTTTCTCTTTTCCGTGTTTGTTGTGAGGGCTGGGCTGTGTGTTAAATTGGCATTTTCTCCTGCATTTCTTGTATGAGCTTTACTGTGACTTTGTAACTTTTGTTGTATAACATACTGGCGAAATTCCTCTAATGTCGAAAGTTTGGGTTCTTGTTTTTTTTCAGTAGACTCACCTTCGTGTTCCCAATTTGTTCTTTCTGGTTCATCCTCCATAGGGCGCGCGTGCTCTTTTTTCACATGGGAGTCATGTATGTTTTGAGGAATTGTGGACGATGATGCCATGGCTAGCTGATTTCCTACGTGTGGATTATCGTCATATTGACGATTTGGCTGCGTGTATCTTACATCCGGTACGGATGGCAATGGAGTGGGATCAGTGCCCATGTGTGGCTGTGGCTCTTGACGGCGTGCATGCTGGTCTGCATAAAAGCGTGCAATGATTTCTTCTTCTTCCTCTTCTTCTGCAGCGTGATCCTGTTGAACAGCGTGCCGCCTAAGGGGTGCAACGGTATGAGGCGTATTCCGGGCACTTTGCAAAGTGTCACGCGCGGTTTTGGTCGCCGTCGGGCAGACGCTGCTTGATTCCTCCTCTCCTCCCTCCGGGCTGTGCTGCAACTTCGATGCATTGAATTGCTCCAGCAGACTCCGCTTTCCTTCTGACACCAACATCAACTCCCAGTCTTCCACCGTGTCGTGGTCATGCAGAAATTCGTCTGTGTGAAATGACGCCATCCCGCTACGCTGTACGTGTTTATCGAGATGCCACCGTGTCAGAGGGGCCGCGGAGTCCCTCACGCCGCCACGCGCCGATTGGGGTTCACTAAGGCACTCGTCTAGTCTACACACATCCAATTTTCTACTTTCGTCGGCTTCCGACAACTTAAACGGGACGCGATCATCGCGATGAAACGTGTCGGGCCGTGAATTGGACCAATCCTGCGGTGGGCGGCGGTTCATAGCCTGTTTCCACGTGACACGGGAGGAACGCTTCGAGGCCCATGTCACCTCGCTTGGGCACTCGGGCGGCGCGTGGCGCGTCATTGACGTGTTGCGAGGCGACAGACGACTTCTGTTGCGGCCGCTCTCGCTCACGGAGATGCGATATTCGTCGCCGCGGAGGTGACTCTCACGCGTGTCACTGCGAAACAGACGCACCGATGACTTGTCCGCATGCGATGCCATTAGACACGACGGTGGGCAATGTAAATGTTTATTAACTCCCCCTCCTTGCCGTTACGTATTCTATTATTATTATTATTATTATTTTTTGTTGTTGTTAAATTCCCCTCCCCTTTCTTTTTTTTTGTTTTCTCATCCAAATTTATGCCTTTTTGTTTGCCTTCCGCCCCTCCCCCCCCCAAAAAAAAAACAAAAAGCCGTGATTCGTGCGTGCAAAGTCTCCCGCCTCCTCCTTCTATTCCCTACTCCGCCCAAAAGAAATAAAAGAGCAAAAGAGACAAAGAACTCGGAAACGGCAGCAAAAAAAAAAAAAAAAAAAAAAAAACGAAAAAAACCCGACAACCGATTGCCACGGCTTCTCTCCCCCTCTCTTTCTTTCTTTCTGAATGACCCGTCCCCTTCTCTTCCCACACGAACGCGGCTGCAAGAATAAACGCATACAGACACACACACACAAAAAAAAAAAATGAGTGGACCTCCTTCAGTGACATAAAAAATGCCAGCACACGGTGCAGGACTATTTAATGAGCAACAGAAGAAAAAACAAAAAACAAAAAAAAAACACAAAAAGGAGGGAGGGAGGGAGAGGGGGGGGGAGAAGGAGAAGTAGAAGAAGTTCAGACTCACCAATCAAACCACATGCCTACACAATCGAGTTTCCCCGTTTCTTCGTCTCCATTGAAAAATAACCCCGCGCCACACCTCTTCTTCCCTGCCCTGAGGCGCACAGAGAGAGGGATGAGGGAGAGTGGCGGAAGCGACAGCGACTTCCCCTTCCGACCACCACCACCACCGTCCTTTTTTTTTTTTTTTTTTTTTCCTCCTCTCCCCCCTTCACTGTGAGCAACGCGGCTACAATAATACCAATAATAATAATAATAATAAACTAAAAAATTTCACAAGAAAAAACAAAAACAAAAGAAAAGCATAATAATCAAACAAAGCGCATAATTTACACTTTTGTTGTTGTTTCAATTCTTCAAAATTTTTTTTTTTTTTTTTTTTTCCTTCTTCTTCTCCTTCTTCTTTCTCTCCCCTTTTTTGATTACATGGACGCAAAAGTGCAAATCTCTAAATGAACTCTCCCTCTCCCTCTCTCTCTCTCTTTCTTTCTTTTCCATCCGTACATGCTCATTAATATATAGTCTTGTGCGCAAGAGACATATATACATATATATATATATATATATATATATATATATATATATATGTAGCAAAAAAAAAATCTTCTTTTTTTTTCTTTTTTTTCTTTTTCTTTTTTCCTTCCCCCCCCTCTCCCTTTCTCCCCTTTTCTATTGACTTTGTTTGTCTTTCATTTACATCCATAAATAAGTGAGCAATACACGCATAGAAATACAAATATATTAAATATATAAATATATTAAATATTATATTTAAATAAATAAACACATATAAATATATTTATATTGCAATGCAAGTTATATAAAAATAGTAATTATATACATAATATATATGGATATATATATATATAGATCTACGTACTTATAAAATATATATGGATATGGCTATGGATATGGATATTTATATAGGAATATAAATGGGGGTGGGGGGATTATTAAAAAGAAAAGACACAAACAAACAAACACACACACAAAAAAAGGAAACAAAAATATAACAAACGAAACAAACCAACAAAAAAAGGAGAGAGAAAAAAAAAAAAAAGTATAATTAAAAAGAAAAGAAAAGAAAAGAAAAGAAAAGAAAAAAACCGTCACGCAGAAACACACACACACACACACAGAAAAACACACAAAATACATACATACAAGTAGTACACCAACTCCATGCGAGGACCTTTTTTTTTTTTTTTTGTTTGTTTGTTTGTTTTTTCTTCTTCTTCTTTCCTTTCGTTCCTCTTCATTTAGTTGTTGTTGTTTTTCTTGACGACAACTAAAATTCCACCCCGTGTTATAAATTACGGTTGGAGGAAAGAAAAGAAAAAAAAAAAAAAAAAGCAGACATCCATCAAGAAACTAAACGGCCGCACACCTCTTTAAATCCGTATTTGATGTAAGTGCAATTATTTGTGTATGTAATTATAAAGAGCACATGATCCTCCGTAATGTTCAGCAATAAAAAAAAAAAAAGAAAAAAAAAATTATTTTATTTTATTTTATTTTTTTTTCTTCCGTTCCATCCTCCCCACGCCACCCCACTTGTTTTTTTTTTTTTTTTTTTTGTTTTCGTCTTGTCTCCCTTCTGTGTGTTTCTCTGGGAAAGAGGGGCGGCTGGCAGGAATGTGTGCGATGACACGCATCGTGCCCACGGAAAGAAGAGGAGGGGAGGAGAATGAAGAGACAAAAACAAAACAAAACAAAAAAAGTAAAAACAAGAGAAGAGAAAAAAAAAGAAAAAAAGAAAAAAAGAAAATCATATTGTCGTATTCCAACTGCGTGAATGGGACGCGTACCCACTCTTCTCTCAGCATCCACACAAACACAAAGACACACACACACACACACACACACACAGACAGACAGACAGACACACACCCTCCACGCCCTTGTAATATATATAAATATATATATTGCTGCCTTTTTTCTCCCCTCTCTCTCTCTCTCCCGCTTCGTTTCGCTCATCTTCCCTATCCCCCATGCAGACTGCGCAGGTGGGGGCGGTCGGTAAACAATAGCGGTGGCAGGGCGGTGACTAACAAAATCAAAAACACAGGCACACGCAAAAAAACAAAAAAAAAACGAAAAAACAAAAGACAAAACATAAAAGGACCTCAGCAGCATGGAAAAGATGCACAAGGTAACGGGCAGACAGCCCTCCCCTCAAATACAGACAATATATACGCAGCCGTTTATGTCGAAGAAATGGAGAGGTCCAAATCCTCTTCCCGCTCAGCGCTGTTTTCCCCGGCATGTGATGCATCCGCCGAGGCGTCGTCTGCGTCTAGGGGGCAAATTTCCTCAACGGCTCTTATTACCATCTCCATCCACTCGACATCCCACGTCACGGGGTGGTGAAGCACTTCCTCTGCGGTCATACGCCTTCGTGGGTCACGACAGAACAGATTCTCCAACAACTCCACAAGACTCTCCGGGAGCTCGGCCTTATCAGATCCCAAAAATGTTTTGTTATTGGTGGTTATGTACGTTATGGCCCTTGAGCTGTCACACGTCATGCTACTCAGTAATTTGCTTTCAAAACTCTCATTCCTAATAGAAGAACTCATTTTTTCCTTTGGCGAAGTTGAAGCCACTAGACGACGTTGCACAGAACCCTCACATTGTTTGCCACGGGCGTCATTATAGGCGTTTTTCATGGCCCCTAATATCATTTGCGCCGTTGTTGTACCAAAGTGGTGTTGTAGCTTCCCACCCTTGTGGTTGGCTACTGTGATGGGTAGACTTCCATCTTTGGGAATGGAGGTGTATAACTCAACCAGCGCGGGAAAGTGTAGTCCTTGAAGATGACCGAGACGTAATCCAATCACTTCTGCCAATAGACATCCAAAGGACCACATATCACATGGTCTTCCATATGGTTCACCTAACAAAACCTCAGGTGACATATATGCCAGCGTTCCTTTCATGTTAACAAGGGGTTTCGTAGCGCATTCCTCAGCGGCGGAACCAAAGTCACCAATCTTTGCCACACCACCACTAAAAAGAATATTGCATGGCTTAATGTCGCGATGCACTATACCTTGTGAATGCAGGTAGGCAATACCACTAGCGACATCACGCAAAAGAAGAACTATTTCTCTTGCAGTAAGGGGTTCTGGAATTTTGCCAAACTCATCATGATTGGTATCCGGTCTTTCCCCTATCGTCCCAACAGGTTGAACCGGAAAGGATGCGCCATTTGACAAACGTGGTAGAGGCGGTTTATTCATTTGATTGCTTTCCGTGGCCGGAAACCCCCGATGCAGGCGTTGATCCAATGTCCCATCGCACAACTCCATAAATATGCAGTATGCGTTGTCCTCCATAGAGGAATGGGAGAAACTGACTATGTTTGGGTGATCCATATGGCTCATAATCGACACCTCTCGGTTCAGCTGCTCCAGAAAACGATGACTGGCTCCATTGAGAAATAAACGCTTCATCGCCAAACGTCCACGCGAGACAAAAAGATACACCTCGTAAACATCGCCAAAGGCACCACCACCAATTTGGCGAACAATCTGATAACTTTTACGCCATCGAATTTGTACCATCTCATTCTTTAGCCGACGCTGCCGTATATAATGGCTCACATTCTGACCAATGGTAAAATTCGTAAAGATTTCCCCAATTTCTTGCATGCGTAGAACCGCCTCTTCGCGAGTTCCTGGCGGAACTGGGAGACTGTACGCATCGTCCGTCAATAAGTATAATATCGTCGTCTGTTTTACCGTCTCAGAGGCAATGAGGTCACGAATATCCGGAGTCACCAGTTTCTCTGACCACTCAACAAACAACACATCAAAGGCGTTCATTCCAATACTCAGATAACGTTTCATGACTACCGGATCGGAAACGACTGTCGCTGAGTGTCCTCTACCCCACAAACTCTGCAGGAAATCCTGTCGATGCTCTTTCATGTACAAGAACACGTGAAGGTATCGCTTATAACTACCGCCAAGTTTACCTCCAAGGGGACTGTTACAAGAAGTGCTTGTCGCCATGGCGTCACTCCCACTGCGGGCCCAAGATTTACCAAACATATTATCCACCCGTGCCAAAGCAGAAACAGAAGGCCATTCGTTAGGCGGTGTTTGGTTGACATCATATCCGGACTTTGAATCCTGTGCTATCCCCAATGTTGGCGGGTGCCCATTAGGATCCGTCGTTTTGGATTGACCATCACCAAATACTTGAGGCAAACGCGTCACACTCCCCGACGAGGATCCGGATAACTCTTCAAAAGGTTGCACTAAAGGAATACCAAAAAATCCCGCAATGCTGCTGTTGTAATCTCCTTTAAGTCCAGGATCAGCCTTTAAATTCGACGGAGCACTTAAGGCACCTTCTTCTGTTCTCCATGTAGATCCAAATTTGGTTCTGCGCACGGCTTCACTAAAGGCCTCCTCGGCTGCTGCGTAATGGTGTAAATGAATCATCTGTCCGCTTGACTGCGCTGCCGCATCCTCCGTCAGGGCATTTGTGGCGGTCACACCAAACAATGAAAGTCCTCTGAGTGTAGAGAGTTGCAATGTCCCGGCCTCCTCCATGAGTGCCAGACGTTCTTGCGTGGTGTATGGGAAACGCAATGTACATCCATTTGCTGTAAGGTGAATAGTGGCGTCACAAACACGCAGATACTCCAATAGGTTCGCTGAGAGAATAGAACTAATCCCAATATCATTTGTGGCATGCCCTCGACTCCCATTATCACTTGGGGAAAAATCAAGTGACGATGAGGAGTTTTCATCATCCCCACGTCGAAGACCAACTTTCATGAGAGGTACATTTTCCAATGCCTTCAGTTCAAGAAGAATAAACATATTTTCAGCATCCACACGGCAGTTGACACGTTTATATCGCTTCAAAACACGATTAACAAATATCATGAGGGCAACAAAATTAATTAGAAAATTCTCTGGCACACGCGACGTGAGTTCCACCCCACAAACAGCAATCAAACTATTCAACTTTTCACGGAGCTGCTGCGCTGTAACGTAATCCACAGCATGGCCTCGCTCAGCTGAAATAGGTGACGGATACTCCTTCAGGGTGGAACGCCGCTTTCTTCGTCGATGCCCTGTCGCTGCCGTCCTTACACGACGGCTACGTGGCAAACTGGCATGGGATTCACAATCATCCTCCGCGCCATCCTTCATGAGTGATCCACAGACATTTAAAATGCTGACCGTGCCAGAACTTGTTGTTGAGGGGCGTTTTTGTAAATGGGTACTGAACGCATGACCCATTGGAGAATTATCCATGAGTGTTATATGCGGCTCAAACTCCTCTCGAGAAACCGTGTCGCCAATAAGCTTACGAGAAATTTCCCTCGGTTCACCGTTGACCTCACGAATAAAAAGTAACACCAAGTACTTTTTATCCATAGAAGCTGAAGAAGAAAACTGGCCTGGCTCACAAAAAGAGGATGGTAAAGCGACGTTGTTGCTACTCATGGCATAGACTTCAAAGCAAAATGATTTCTGCAGCAATTGCAATGTGAGCAGCTCCTCTAACCCACTTTCAAAGAGGCAACGCATGTCCTCCACTTTTTCCATATGACGCTTTTCAGAATGGCTCCGTTCTTTACTTGGAGGTGCTGGTACAAGAACAAGACGCCCATGAGGTTTTCCACGCGACTTCTGCGGTAATGCCGGGAGTGAAGTCACTTTACCTCCACCCCTAACACGATTCTTATGCGACGATCGTTTCAAGTTGCGGTGCAATTCAAAAAGATTTTTAAAATCTTTTCCAGCAAGATCAACCATCCAGCGATATTGAAGCAGTTCAAGTGCAGAGATGCTACAGTAAACAATAGGATACAATTCTTGGGTATCCCCAGGCTTGAAACTTCCACGCAAAGCTACAGTATGGGGAACATATTCCACAATAATCAAAGGGCAGACGCAATCCTGTACATTTTCTGTTATATGACGACAAATATTTGCGCTGCGATCTTCGTGCAAACATGGGGAGAAATCCTTATATTTATCGGCAACACCACTTGGGGCATCGGTGAAGAGCATCTGAATCTCCCGTTCTGCCTGCATGCATCGATAGCGAATTGAACAATCCTTGTCACTAGTCCCATCATCATCAATGTCCACATCTTTACCCAATCCAAGCGATGATAGCTGCATCTCTTCTTCACTCTCCACTATGTCGGCAACAGCAGTTTTGGACCCGTGACCTTCATGCAAACTCACCAAGGAAGCACCGAATGCCCGGTAACGGCTGGAATGATCGCGTTGGTACTCTTCCAGGATTCCTCCTTCATAAGTTCCACCACACAACGTCCCTCCATATCCCTCATAAAGCCAAGGTAAGGAGGGAGGTGATGTCGGTCGGGGGTCCTTTTCAAATTTAATCGAGCTTTGCGAAGCTAAAGTCATGCCATTTTCATTATCATCGCTATCCTCTTCGTCGTCCACATGATCGGCATCGGAGGTGTTTCGACCAGTCGACCGCAGAGACACGGCCCCTTGCATGAAGAGTGCCTGTAAGACCGCAGCATAGGCAAGGTTGGAGGTTGTGGTGGAGTGTATGACGAGAAACACAAATCCCAACCCCAGTCCCACAAGAAACTGAATAGCAGAAAAAAGCATAAAAAGTGAATTCCCGTCGACATATGAGGGAATCACAGCGGTACGGTTGACTTCCAAAAACATACTGAGGCTTGCGCCCCGCATCGCGTGGAGCCCAAATAAAATTTGAACCACCGGAAGACCAATTATTAAACTGAAGGCTGCCATCATACAACGTAACCCGGTGGTAGACAAAATAGCATTCACATTAAATCCTAACCGCCTAATTAGCCCAAGAAAATGACCTGCTGTGTGGCACATCCTATAACTGTTATGCCAGTTCGTACCGAGTGTCGTTTCACGGATGTGAACTCCTTCTACATCAGTTGCTGCCTTCCTAATGGCCACTACAGCCGAATTATCTGTAGAAATCAATTTTTCATCACTGCGCAGCTTCAATATCACTTCCTCCAATTTGGCAATGACGTTGTCCAGCGCTTCTATTAGTTCGGACAGGCGAGTTTCAAAGGCGTCATCAGAAATAAAAATTTCAGCACACGCCTCCCATCTACGCAGAACGGCAAGCAACTGCTCGGACAGTTGACTATCTTCCCCGGTCGTCTCAAACGATCCCGTATACAGACTATGGAGTCGTCGCATTGCGAACACCACACGTCCCTTAAAGAACATGATGCCTTTAAAGAAATCCTGCGGCGAGAGCACAGTGGCGACAAAGTTTCCATTTCTACGCGCCATTATTTGCTGCATGGAGATCATGGGACGCTGAACGCAGTGAGATTCCACCGTTGCCGCAAGAAGACGCAACCCTTGCACATCAAAAAACAGTGTGGTGAGGCTGTCCATGATGGCATCACGCCGCAATGAAGTGAACGCAGGGGCAGTGACATAAGTGTTGG